GGGGAGAAAGCATTTAGGAACTAGAGGAAAGTTGTATGTTTCATCGTTGCTACACTGCACCCTGACTGGCTCCTCCCCATGACCCTTCCTTAAGGGGATGTCCAGTTGCCTACAGATGGGCTTTGGGTCCCCACTCCGCACTCCCCCTCATTCACAATGATAGGATTTTTTGTTTTTTGATGTCTGATACCTGATCCCTTCAGCACCTCATGATCGCATAGGCTGGTGTGCTTCTTCCATCTTATGCCCTCCCAATTTAATTTCTTAAGACAAAAAAACTGCTGACATTTGATTAAGAGTTGCATTGACTCCATTTGGGTAGAGTCTCAACAACAATAAGTATATTGCTCCTTAAACATAACATGTCTATTTATTTAGACCTTTATTTTCTTTCAGCACTGTTTTTGTAGGTTTTTTCTTTTTTTTTTTTGTTTTTGTAGTTCTCAGTGCATACATTTTGTATGATTTTTGTTAAATGTATACCTAAATATTTTATTCTTTGTAAAATTAAAATTTTTAAATTTCATTTCCAATATATTCATTGCTAGTGTATAGAAAGATAATTTTTGTATATTGACCTTGTGTCTTACAACCTAGATGAATTAGCTTATTCTAATAATTGTTGTAATAGACTGGTTGGGATTTTCCACATATGAAATCATATCATCTAAAAATAGAGAGTTTTACTTCCTCCTTTCCAATCTGCATATCTTTTATTTTGTATTCTTGCTTAATTGTTCAAACTCAAACTTCCAGTACAGTGTTGAATGGAAGTGGTCAGAGTAGACACACCTGTCCTGTTCCTGGTATTAGCAGGAAAGCTTCTAGCCTTCAACACAGCCAGGGAGTTTTCAACACCTTGGTTCTGCTTACATCTCTGCTACCAACTCTGAAACCTTGCCCATCTCACCTGTTGCAGGTTCTTCAACAGACAAATGGTAACATTAATTTGAAAGGCCCTGTTTTTTCAGTTCTTACTTCTCTATACCTTTGTGTTTTGTTTGTTTAAGCTTTATTTTTTTCATAGGTAATTGCCTTGAGCATTTGTTTTAACATCATAGGAACTTTCTAAGTTTACTTGGAAATATTCTCTTTTTATTTTTAATCTGAGCACCTTTTTTTTTAGGGGCTCTTACAACTCTTATCACAATCCATATATACATCAACTGTGTAAAGTACATCCCTACATTCATTGCCCTCATCATTCTCAAAACATTTGCTTTCCACTTAAACCCCTGGCATCAGCTCCTCATTTTTCCCCTACCCCCCTGCTTCCCCCTCGCTCATGAACCCTTGATAATTTATAAATCATTGTCGTATCATGCACTGTCTGACGTCTCCCTTCACCCACTTTTCTATTGTCCATCCCCCAGGGAGGAGGTTACATGTAGATCCTTGTAATTGGTTCCCCCGTTCCACCCCACCCTCCCTCCACCATCTCAGTATCGCCACTGGTCCTGAAGGGATCATCCATCCTGGATTCCCTGTGTTTCTAGTTCCCATCAGTACCACTGTAAATCCTCTGGTCTGGCCAGATTTGTAAGGTAAAATTGGGATCATGATAGTGGGTGGAGAGGAAGCATTTAGGAACTAAAGAAAAGTTGTATGTTTCTTCATTGCTACACTGCACCCTGCCTGAATGGCTCATCTCCTCCCCACGACCCTTCCGCAAGGGGATGTCCAGATGCGTACAGATAGGCCTTGGGTCTCCACCCAGCACTCCCCCTCATTCAGAACAATGATATGATTTTTTGTTTTGATGATGCCTGATACCTGATCCCTTCAACACCTCGTGATCCCACAGGCTGGTATGCTTCTTCCATGTGGGCTTTGTTGCTTTTGAGTTAGATGGCCGCTTGTTTACCTTCAAATCTTTAAGACCCTGGATGCTATATCTTTTGGTATCTGGGCACCATCAGCTTTCTTCGCCACATTTGCTTATGCACCCATTTGTCTTCAGTGATCGTATCAGGGAGGTGAGCATACAATTATATGACTTTTTGTTCTTTGATGTCTGATAACTGATCCCTTCAGCACCTCGTGAGCGCTCAGGCTGGTGTGCTTCTTTTTTTAAAAAATTTTTTAAACATTTTATTAGGGGCTCATACAACTCTTATCACAATCCATACACACATCAATTGTGTACAACGTATTTGTACATTCATTGCCCTCATGGTGTGCTTCTTACATGTGGACTTTGTTGCTTCTGAGCTAGATGGCCGCTTGTTTACCTTCAAGCTTTTAAGACCCTGGATGCTTTATCTTTTGACAGCTAAGCACCATCAGCTTTCTTCACCACATTTGCTTATGCACTCACTTTGTCTTATGCAATTGTGTCGGGAAGGTGAGTATCATGGAATGCCAGTTTAATAGAACAAAGTATTCTTGCATTGAGGGAGTACTTGAGCAGAGGCCCAGTGTCCATCTGCCGCCTCAATACCAAACCTATAAGTATATGCACATAGATCCACTTCCACATCCTCATATATAAATATATTTACATATATACATGCCTGCATTTAGACCTTTATAAATGCCTTTTACCTCCTAGCTCTTTCCTCTATTTCCTTTTACTTTCCTCTCTTCCCACTATCATGCTCAGCCTTCATTTGGGTTACAGCATTTCCTCTCGGTTACATTACTCCTGGTCACACCCTACAGGCCTCCTATACCCTCCTCACCACTGATTTGGATCACTTGTTGTTCCCTTGTCCCTGGGGTTGTTAACACCACTTTCTTTCCTCCCACCTCCCCCTTTCCCATGCCCCCCTCACCCCCCCAAACCATCAGTCCTGTTGTTTTCTCCTCCACTTGTTCATCCAGTCTATCTCATTTAGACAGACCTGTGTAGATAACACGCACAAAAACAAGACAGCAAAAGCAAGCAACAAAATAAAACAAAAAACAACAACGACATCAATTACACACAAAAAAAACCCACAACAACAAGAAAGAAAAGATTGTAGTTAGTTCAAGGATGGTTTGTTGACCTTTAAGCGTGTTTTCCAGTCAAGTCTGTTGAGGCGCCAAGCTCTGGCCCCAATGTCTATCCTTGGTGTTCCCTGGGGACTTTGTTGCTCTGTTCCCTTTGCTGTTCTGTTCCATGCCTCCAGTGTTTTGCCTTGGTGTGGTGGGATGAGATTGGCGGAATTCCCACAGTGTCTCCGGTGTTGTCTCCCGTAGGGCTATGGGTCAGCAAGGGATGTCGTGTCTCATAGTGTGGCCGGCCATATGGTCCTCTCTGTGGACTGGCCACTCTGAGTGGGAACATTGTCCTCAAGGGTTGGCAGGCCAGGATGTGCTCCATTCTCTCTTCCTACACCCCCCCACCTCCTGCTCTGATCAGACATGTCCCTCTCCCGGAGCTGCAGATTCAGTGCTGCCCTCTGAAATAAATTCTAATAGGGGGATACTTGGAAATATTTCTAAGTTCTTCCCCCCCCCACTTGTTTTGAGTGCCTTTGACTTCCACAATTCTAAACCGCATTAATCTAGACAGAATTTTCAGAACTTGAGACATACAAGACAAATGTTTCAGTGGAACCATATTTCCTTTCCTTTGAAACTGTTTTGGGAAAATTGCTCATTTTCACAAAAGGTCAATAGACCACAGCTTCTTCCCCTCCGCCCTCTAACAGTCAGTGCTCTATTTGTTTTCAGACTCTCAGCGTTCTCATCTCTCTTCCTTCACCATGAAGCTCATGGACAAATTCCACTCGCCCAAAATCAAGAGAACGCCGTCAAAGAAGGGAAAACCAGCCGAGGTGTCTGTGAAGAATTCAGAGAAGCCCCTGAACAAAGTAAGCTGACTCTCTACATTTTTCTCCTGCTCTCTGCCTACGTCCAGCAATATTGGCTTGTCATATTTTAAAGTTCTTTCCCTGGGACCTGCGTGTTCAGGATATCACACCTATTACATAGCATTTCATGCTTCTAGATGGGGTCTCCAATGCCCTTAGGATAGATGAAGCTTTAGCCTAGGAAGTATTTGTCATGCTAATCAGAGTCCAGCTCAGTTGGGTAGAACAGTTCTCCTCTTCCAGTTGTGTCATCCTCTGGGCATTTAAACTATCTCAGTGCATCATGTCCACACTCCAGGAGGCTGTCTCCCTGCCCCAAAGATTCCACATCATCCTGGTGCACACACACATACACTGAGACATTTGTGGTATCCAGATTACCCATCATTGGACTTTAAAAGGTCTGTAGTCTTAAACATGCAAACCCCTTAAAGTTCAGCCAAAGATGTTCTCAAGCACAAGTAACCTCAAGCCAGATATGTTGAGACAGCTGTTGGTTTTCATCAGCCCCTCCCTTCAGCTTAAAATGGCCATTTCAAGCTCTGTAGGAATCCAGGTTTCCTCTCTTCCAGGAGGCAACAGACAGATTTCTACCAGAGGGCTACCCTAACCCCTTGGATCTGGAGCAGCAGGCAGTAGAATTTATGCCCACCAGTGCTGTGGCTTCCAGATCTCAAAGGCAGAAGGTCAGTGTAACATTAAGAACAATTGGGTTTGCCTTGCCTTCTTCTGCAGAATCCTGGTCCCATGGTTTTGGGGATGGAAACCATCAATTGTATTATCTTTTATGAGCTGATTGTTGGATGGGATGGCAACTCTGGGACCAACATGCTTTGGATAAAAGGAAGACCTTAAGCCCTCATGGTCTTTAGAAAGAGCTCAGATATCCTTGGCAGAAGCCCAGGGATACTTTCTGGGGTTGGTTTGGGTGTGCTGCTTGGTTCCAACGGGTTCCAGGAGGAAGTGGGTGAGTCTCATATCTCAAGACCAGCTTTCCTTCTCTTGAATTGCTGAGATGGTCTGAATAGTTTAGAAGAGGAAAGCATCCATAGGGTAAGCTGCTTTTTTTAGACATCTAGATTTAGCGAGACTAATGAGGCACAGAAGACTTGTCACCTAACCAAGTACTTTCAGAGTGGACACACCTTTGTGTGATGCTTTGGTCAAGTCCCAGGCTAAGTGCTCTAGCACATTATCATACTTAGGCAATCCTCCTGACACCCCTTGGAGGTCGAATCTTTTTTTGTAGAAAACAAATCTAGCTTTAGGGAGTTGAAGCATTTGGCCAACGCATTCATATACAGTCCACCTGATATCAAAGTCTGGACTCTTGTGATGCTATATATTGCCCCTTAATGGAAGCCAGAGTAAAAGTAGTCCTGGCATCACAGTGGTTAAGCACACAGCTGCCAACTGAGAAGTCAGCAATTGAATCTAGCAGTGGCTCTGTGGGGAAAATGAGGCAATCTGCTTCCAAAAAGATTACGGCTTTGCAAGCTCTATGCTGTTGTTGTTGTTGTTGTTGTTGTTATTGTTAGGTCTCATCGAGCCAAGTCCGTCTCTTAGTGATGCTATGTCCAACACCACACCTGCACTTGTTTTTAAGGTACAAACCATATAGGGCAGTTGTATTCTGTCCTATAGGGTTACTCTGAGTTGAAATTGGCCTGAGGGCAATGGGGTTATGTGTTTTTGTTTTGTTTGCAGATTTGTTTGACAGCTGAGAGTTTATTTTTTTAATACCTCACACATTTAGTTATGAATTCCAGCTCTTAAATTGTACAATTTTAAGAACCACCTTAGCAATCCAAGATAAAAACAGCCTTGTAGACAAATGGATCCTTCATCTTTTCCTGGTTATGCTTAACATCATTTATAGTAGCAATCTGTCACCGATAACTTAATGCAATTGTCAAGCACTGCATGTTATCTCCCACATGGTACTTAAATTTCATGGTGCATTTATTTTTGTTTTTAATGTTGACCAGAAAAACACCTTAAGACTCTAGTTAAAAGTGTAAGAACTAAAGGCTGTGGGTGCAAACATGTTATGCAGTAGTTTTGTCTGCCCCATCTGTTAGCAAAAGGAACGTAGAGGGAAAGACTGTACTTTCCATATTGATGTACATTACAGATTGAAGAAAGGGGGGATTTGGTCTGTGCCACGGTTTAAAAAAAATTTTTTTTTTTTTGCAATTCATGTTAGTAACCCCTTGGATTGGCATTTAATAGTAAACTCTTAAAAAGTGTCTACTTTGTCATCTAGTTATTCCAGACTTAATTTGTTTGTTATGTATTACTCCAGATTAAAATACTTGACTAATGACTGTGCTTTAGTGAATTCTGATAGGAAACTTTAAGCCACTGAATTCTTGGATTCATTGTCCTTACCCCAAGAGAGGTCCTCAGGGAAGACTTGCTGCTAAAGTGCTCCTCACTTATTGGGAATTCTTATAAATTCCGAGGGACATTTGGTAATGTCTGGAGACATTGTGGTTACCAAAGCTGGAGAGTCAAGCAGTTACTACTGGCATCTAGTGTAGAGGCCACAAGTGCTGGTAAGACGACAGTGCCCTATATTTTCACCTGAGTGCGCACACACACCCCCACCCCCACCACCACCACCACCCAGAGTTAACTGATTCAAATCATCAGTGGGGCTGAGATTGAAAGCCCCTGGGGTTTTTTTGTTTGTTTTGTTTTTTTCCATATTAAAAAAAGTTTTTATTTATAGGAATGTTTTAAAAATGGTCCTGCCCTTCCAAAAGTCAGAAAAACATAGAGCCAAATTGACAAATATCATAGTTAAATTTTAAGCTTATAGTTGCCATTTTTTTCTTCCTGGCAAAAAGTCAGAGCATCCAGTGGAGATTTTAAAAGAATTAGGGGAAACAAAATATGCATAAAAATATCTTTTGCATGTTAAAGGTATTTGGCAGTCTAGCACAACCCCACCATTTTAGGAAAAAATTAGGCCAGAAACAAAAGGAACCTACAAGGTACAAGTTATGGGATTTAGTAGCAGTGCTGCAACAAAATTCAGGGGGGAAACCCTGTTTTATAGCCAATGAGCTATAAGTGTGATCTTACCCAACTAAGAATATCGCTGCCCCTTTTAGTCTTCCATTTAAAAGGATTGACTTCGTAGACTCAGCCTCAGGTCACCTGCATGGAACAAAGTGAGTTCCTTAGAGCAGAGGCCCAAAGGCAGGACTGAAACTATTGGGGAATCTGCCAAAGTGTATGAACCTACAGGGCTCCTACGTGCACTATCTTACCATTGTCATTTGCTATCTTTATTTCTTATCTACTAACATGTATGTGGCTGTCTTACTGTGTATAGCATATTCACCTATCCCTACTCATTTTTACTTCTGTTAATATACATGGCTGGCTCTGTTTAAATACGTGGAAAATTGAAGATCGGGAGATAGAGGTACAACTTCAGATTCTGCCTACTTTTTGTCCAGGCACTGTCCTGGGTGGTTTCTCAAACGCTGTCATACTTAAACCTCATCTTAATCTTGTGGGAAAGCTCTCAGTATTCCTACGATACTGAGAGGTTTTCTCTCTTGCTCAGATTTTCTTAACTTAAAAACCAAAAAATATCTGTCTTTCTAGACTGGTTCTACATATTTGTAGTCATTACATCTTTTTTGCTTGCAGAGCAGAGGTGGTGGGTGTGAACCGCCAACCATGCTCACTGGGAGAAAGGTGAGGCTGTCTGCGCCCTTAAGGTCTGCAGCTTCAGAAACTCACAGGGCAGTTCTGCTGTGTCCTCTAGGAGCTCTGTGAGTCAGAGTCGACCCCACCACAGTGGGAGAATGCTGCTTGGCCGAGGAAGAGACAAGAACGTGTCTGGAGACCAGGACCAGGTTTTCGCTCACTTCCTCTTTCTCATCCAGAGCCTGTCTGTGCTTACACCAAGAGGCAGGAAAGCCGCCTTTTTCTGTTCCTCTCTGCTACTGGCCATTATTGCTTGTCAAATGAGCCTTAGACTCGGTGATCTCTAGTCGGTTTCTTTAGTTCCTCCATTACATGTCTGATAAAACTTCCTGCTTCACTTCTTCCTGCCCTATCTCCAAAATTCAAACTTAAAACTCACTGCTGTCGAGTTGTGCCGACTCTTAATGACCTGATAAGACAGAGTAGAACTTCCCCTGTGGGTTTCTGAGACTTAATTCTTTACAGGAATAGAAAGTCTCATCTTTCTTGCAGAGAGCAGCTGCTGGTTTGAACTGCTGGTCTCGTAATTAGCAGTCTAATGAATAATTCACTGTACCACCAGAGTTCCTAGTATCGATGAAACCAAGTTCAAATTCCAGTTCTATCCCACACAGCTCTATGACCTTGGGCAAGTTGCTTAAACAGCCCCAACCCCACCTTTAGTGGTGAAAATTATTATGAGATGCCACCCAGTCCATCCCGACTCCTAGCAACCCTACGTGCGACGAAACAAACACTGCCCCTTCCTGTGATCATCTAGCTAAAAACTTAGCAAAGTGGTGTCTTAGGCACTCAATAAAGGATAGCCCTTCTCTGATCTCTTTCTCTCCTTTTCCCTTTTAGATCTTTGATTCCTTTTCATTTCTTCTCTACTTTATTAGGTTACCGTGTACCATTGAGTCAGTGCCAACTCATAGCGACCGTAGGGGACAGAACAGAACTGCCTGAGCTGTAGCCTTTGCAGGAGCAGACGACCAGGTCTGTTTTTCTGTGGAGCCGCTGCACGGGCTCCAAGCACTGCCCTTTTGACTAGCAGCTGAGCACTTAACTGTTGCGTACAGGTCTCTTTTGCTTTATGATTAGCCGATACTATTAACTAGTGTCCGTTTGACTGTATAAAATAATTCCCTGTATTCTCTCACTCGATGTCCATATCAACCTCTTGATACCAGGCTGATGGTCCACTCCCTGAGCACTCTGAAGCCCACTAGTTTCCATATCCAGAGCTTGACTGTCCCTCTGCCCCAGTCACCTCCTTTAGCTTCCAGGCCCATTTGACCAGTGGTGACACCCAGTCCCCCACAGCAGGGAGGGAGGAGGTAGATGGAGATGGCTGCATCTGCCTCTCTGAGATCACCTAACAAGCCAGCTTTATTCAAGCCGAGGTGATGGGTTTCCAGTGTGAGCTCGTGCTCTGTATAGGTTTCTCATTCTAAAAGCTTCTGACCACCGGCCACATTTTTAGAAGAAGCCACAGTGTACCAGCTAATGCTCACACAGCTAAGGGATGCACAACAGTCATCAGAGGCCATTAATTCTGCAGAGTGGAATTGGCAGCAAAGTTAATGGATGAAACCTGACTCTGGTCAATTGGAGGCTCCTTGATTTGGAGCTTAGAGTAACCTACCTCTCTTAAATGGCTGGTTTGATCTCTACAGATGGCAGGAGAATTCTCTCTACTCTGAAATGGCTTGCTTCTTTTGAATGCTTCCCATCCTCGGGTTTCCCCTGTCTCCCCAGCAAACCTGTTAAAACATTATCTCTTTGCTCAACAAGTTTCTGTGATGGTCTTCCTCTAGCCACACTGAGCGTGGTGATTTACATAGCCTGATTTGGTATCTGCCAGCACTGTGATTCCTTCAGACCCGGGTTCCCCTATTGATGTCGAAGCAGAGGGCACATGTTCGTGAGATAGAGAAACACATCTTGACCTTTGGAAAATGGACAGTAAAAAGGCAAATATGTCAGATAGTAAAAAGAGGACAGAGAAGAGTCAAAAAGATAAAGTGATGAGGATGGCGGGTGGGGGCAGGTGTGCTTTTGCCACCTTGTAGAATGTATTTTAGTGGACTCTGTGAAACACTGTGGAAAGTATTCCTGTTGGGGAGATGGTAAATAGGGCCTTTGAAAGCAACCTGATTACAGGAATGTGTTAGACCAGGTTGACTAGAGGAGCAAATCCAGAGACACTAGTGTGTAAGAGAGAGCTTTGTGTCAAAGAGCAATTGTATGTTGAGAAAACATCCCAGATCAAGTCTATAAGTCCAAGATTAGCCCATATGTCTGATATTCGTTTATAAAATTCCTCCTCAGTCTCACGCAGCAGATAAAATGAGTCTGCGTGCAGGTAGATCACAGGCTGGTGGGTGAAAAGTCTTGTGGATCCAACAGTGGTGGATGCATCTCCAGGGCTGTGGCTGCCATCAGCATGGCTCCATGTGTCTTGTCACCAGGAATAAGGAGGCAGAGAGAGAGAAGTTCCCAGAATCCTCATGAGAAGGCCACACCCACAAGAAGGCATCATCAGGCTGACCTGATTGACAGGCTACACTCCACACCTTCACTCTTAATATCCTCAAGTTGACACAAGATCGTGTAACTACCACAAGGAACCATTTGGCTTCTTGGTCCTGCTTCTATACTTTTGATATTTCTATAAAAGGTCTCCACTATTGAAATATTTCCATTTAAAATTATATTCCTCTCTTTTTAAGCTACTTTTTAAGATCATAATTGCTTTTCATTATGGCCCTTTCATTTTAAAACTTTTTTTTAAAGATTTTTGCCTTTTCTAGAAATCATCCCGTTGCTCTCCGTTGCATTCTGTGGTCTTCAAAAAAACCACAGCTGGCAGTTTTCCTTGTGCATGCCCCTCCTCATCTTCACTGGGCACTACGTAGTTAATTCTTTTCATTAGTTCTTCTTTTGGGGGTTTATCCATTTTATAGGCTTTTTTCCCCTTTAAATTTGATATATTTTGTTGTTATTGAGACTGTACATTGCAAAACGTACACCAACTCAACAGTTTCTGCAGGTTCCATTTAGGAACATTGATTACCCCCTGAGCCTGCAGTCATCCTCACTCTCCTTGTGTTGTTCCTTCCGCACTAGCATGAGGTCACTGCCCCGCAAGGCTCCTGACTCATCTTTTGAGATGCTTTTGTCAATGTGATCCCATACACAAACAAAGAGACTTCAAAAAACTCATAGAAAAATTCCATTCTCTTTTCATGGCAGTCTTTTTTTTTTTTTTTTTTTAACATTTTATTAGGGGCTCATACAACTGTTATCCCAATCCA